TGACGCACGAGAGCTTGTGCCGCCGAGATGTGCCCCAGAGCAAGGAGCTCGCGCTTGTAGCCTTTCCTGCGGTACATCATAAGGTGAATACCTGGCTGTGGGGACAACAAGCTCGAAACAGCGCCCCCTATAGTTCGATCCCCTGGCCAAGCAGAACGGACGTTTGCTGTAGACGGAGAAAGACAAAGTACAGAATACTATCATTAGAAAAAAAGAAGGAAGGAAATAAAAGTAAATTTAAAATTATCTAAAACAATTAAGCTAATAAAGTTATTTCTGTGATAACACCATTGAGGGTGCGCTGATGCAGACCTCACCTCTCGACAAGATGATTTGCGGCCCATACAGTTCTTGAGTTCTTTTTCTTTTTCATTAAAACTTTTTAGGATTTAGGTGTGGCTAAGCATAGGTGCGTGTACTTGCAACCTCGTACATGCACAGCGAGGTGTCCCACCGGTGTTTGACTTGAGTGCTAGAGTATGTTCGGTTAAACGATACATCACACACCGCCCCAATTGTCCTATATAATCTTTTCCTGAAGTAAAAGGTATTTCTTACGTTTTACTTCTCCCATACACGACGAGGTCCAGCGGACATTGCAGCCTCAAACTCCCGTCAACGTGGCCGCTCCGGAGAAGCCAACGTTCACCTATGCCCCCTATGACCGACGACCGCCCCCGGTTGCCCGCTAGAGCCCGGCGCCTTCTCGACGCAACACACGTGTGTCCCGAAACTCCGCCAGAAATCTCACGGATAGATAAGGGCTCGACAAATTTAAACTAAAAATAGAGGTGTATTCGGCGAAGTTGTGCCAGAAAGCAAATTCAAGAACGAGCGTTGAAACATCAGCAGCGATAAAGGGTTTATTAACAGGAAATGCGTTCTCTCACCTGTCCTCCCATAAATACAAGCTTTCCGCGAAGACAATGTCCGTCTTCATGAGCTTCAGGGCTTCCGAGAACTTGTTGTCCAGTTCGGTGTTTGCGATACACTCGGCGGCTTGCACCAGCTGCCGTAGCAGCTCTTCTAGCCTCCTCATTTACCTCAAAATACTGCCTTCAAAGACGTCCGCCATTTTGCAGACCTGCGCAAAACGACGCTCCTTTGCTCCAGAAGGAGATGACGTTCATGAGGTGGGGCTTCAACGACTCGATGTAGCGGTCCTCGTCCAGGCACAGCTTGGCGCCGCCTAACCGCCGACTTTGTGAATTCGGCGGTTAGAGACCAGCATCGGCACTTCCACAATCACCACGGAGTCTCTCGCAAACTGCTTATGATGAGGAAACGAATGACTGAAAGAAACTAAACGTTTATATGGACGCAGTTGTGCCAAAATGGATGAATGGCGTCGCAAGCGTCGATGGCGACGTAACAGCAGAATCGAGCGCTGGGGCGAGACTGACTTGTAGGCGCGACGCAGCTCCTTTCAGGCCTTCCCTGGGAGCTTCGATCATTCTTGAAATATATATTGCGAACACGAACAAGCTAAACTGCTCTCCGACCTTCCCGAATTTTCTACGTGCATAAATAAAAGTAAAAGGACAGGCAGTGCAGGGAATGAAACCCGAGCTACCTGCGTGTGAGTCCAATGCGCTGCCAACTGGGCTACGTAAGCGCACGCATTATCCCCCCCTTCCCCTTCTTCAAAAAACACATCGCCCCGATGCTACGCAAAACAAAACTCAAATTAAAAGGTCGGTAATCTAAAGAGTCATCGGGTACACTCTACACTCCTATCGAGTGTAGAATGGCTTGAGTCGAACGAAGTGAAGCACCTCGGGTCGTGGTCGGCCTCGTGATGATGCTTGCATTCCGTAGGGCACCACTTCGTAGTTGAGACCCCGAGGTGTCGATATACGTTGTAGAGACATAAGTACCGTTTCAACAATTTCTCGCAAGTACCGTTTCAACGATTTCTCGCTTAGGCCGCGGCGAAGAATGGGTGTCCACGCCAACACCCCGTCTCCGGGCTGTGAACGTCCCCACGAAGAAGATTGCAGCGGCCAGCGTCGACACGCTGTTGGTGTTGAACCCGGAGTCAGGCCAGCTGGCGAACTTCTGCGGCCCGTTGAGCAACGTTTTGGGAGCCGTTGTTTCCATAGTCAGCTGGCTCGAAGGGCAGCATCGCGTCGAGCATGGTCGTTAACTTCTTACCATGTACCAGCTAGAAAAGTGCAACTCAAGTATAGTCATTAGACATGAGGAAGATACATGAGGAAGATGTATCTTCCTCATGTCTAATTACCGTTACCAATACGCTCGTTTTGTACTTAATCAAGTATAGTCTCTTGGACCGCACTGCTGTAGGCGAATGTGGCGTAAGGCAACACCTCGTCCCAAGTCTTGTGCTTGGGACGAGATGAAGAATTTCTTGTGTCAGCTGCGCCATAAACGATAACCCGAGATTTGTAATTAGCACCTCGGGAGGGCCGTGCCCAAGGACGATGGACTCAATAAAAAAACTTGGCATCTCCAGCTGCTGTTCCCGATGGAAGGACCTTGATCTCGGCATACCGCATTCGATAATCGGTAGCAACGATTATCCAGCGGTTCCCCATTGTTGATCGGGAAAAGGGAACAAGCAAATCCACTCCTTTTTGCAGGAATGGCGTAGACGGGGGAGCGATTGGCTGCAGAAGTCCTGCTGGCTTCGTCGGCGAATTCTGCCGTCGTTGGCACTCGTGGTACATCGGATGTAGTGGTGAACGGACTTCGGAAGCTTAGGCCAGTAGTACCTATCGCGGATCCTGGCGAGCGTCGGGGTGTAGCCAAGGTGTCCCCTCCCCCCGTTGGGTAATCGTGACAGGCTAGGAAGATATCTTCGCGAAGGCCGCTGGGGACTGCCAAAAACCCTGCCGTGTTATTGTCGCCGAAGTTCTTGTAAAGTACACGCCGTCGGATAGCGAAAAACGATCGAGCTCGCAAAAAGACTCGGGGCAACGTAGTATGCCGACATTCCAGGTGCTCGATGAGTGCCGGCAGCTCAGGATCATATCGTTGAAGTTCTGCCAAGCTGTCGGCGTTCTGCCAAGTTGTCGGAGAAAAACATCATCTTCGTCGTCGTTAGCGCGCTCGGACGCCAAATCGAATCGGCGTAACTGTGCTTGCGGCCAGACTTGTAGACCATAGTCATGCCGAATTCTTGAAATCGGGAAATCCACCGCGCAAGGCGTCTCTGAATCGTTTATGTCAACGGGCCAGCAGAGCAAGTAGTGGTCTGTAACCACCTGAAACGGACTCCCGTACAGGCGAGGCGGAACTTGGTTATTGCCTAGACGACGGCAAGGTATTCCTTCTCGGTGGTTGAGTGATTGCTATTTGTCTTGAAAAGCGTCCGACTGGCGTGGGCAATTACTCGCTCCGTGTCATCCTGTAATTGAACCAACACTGCGCCAAGTACTGTATTACTTGCGCCCGTGTGAATTTCGCTCTGTGCAATTTGGTCGAAGTGGCCGATAATCCGAGGCGTCTGGAGTCTTCATTTCAGCTCGTCGAAGGCCCGCTGCTATCCGTCTGACCACTCAAATTTTCCGCCGTCCTTTGAGAGGTATGTTACGGATACCTCACGGGCGGGGATTGAGCCCAGGAGCCCTGGGTTCTGCAGCGCGACCTTTCGCTCCACGTGCTGCGAGCTGGTGTGTGCTAGCCCGCTCGGCCACCGAGCCCCCTTGGATGCACGGCACAACTGCTGGTCGGCGTCTTTTATCTAAAGAGTGTGGCTTCCAAGCTCGAGGGGCGAACTTTGTTCTTAGCACCTGACAAGCTTAAGAAACTCTTCCCCAAAGTTAGTTACGAGAGGGTTAATAGTTTTGTAATTAGCACCCGCATACTGTCGCCGCGAAGCGGCGTAAACGGAGGAAGGGGGAGGGGGGGGGGGGGGGTTCACGAGCTTCCCAGTGACACACGCGCCGTCCGGCATGAGCGCTCCGCGTCGTGCGTGTAGCCACTTCCGGTCAAGGTGCACGACGTCCTGCGTATAGAACTAGTCTTGTAAGAAATAGTGAATTAAAACTGTAACAGCTCTATAGACCCTTTTCAAAAGTCAGAGTCCTCTTGTGGCAGTCCGAAAAGCTCCAATATTGCCGCTCTAATGGCGGTGATAGGAGATCATGCGCGGCTAAGTCAAGCACCCTCGATTTCGTGCATCGAAGGTGACGTGAAACGACCAACATCTTTTCCTTCTTCTGCTCTATGCTTTCGAAGACGTTCGATTTTTCTGGTGTGGAGAAACAGTGTAGTTCCGCCATTAGAGCGTCGGGTCTGGCTCTGCACAAGGTGGGTAGACTGACTTTTGGAAAGGGTCTATTGTGCGTTGCTTAGGGCAGCATACAAGGTCAGTAGTACCTGAAGAAAAAAAAAACGAAGGTACGCGCACAGAGTCAAGGAGTCTGCAATCGCCGGTGGTGTGATGTCAGTGCAAGCCGTGTCTTGGGAACAAGAATACACAGACCAGCCTGCCTTCCGCGAGCACTGAGCGTAAAAGCCAGTAAAAAAACCTTGCGACCGTTGATTTCATTGAAGCTAAAGATTTTCCGAAGATTGCGGAAATGGCAGGTAATGTCCTCGCTGGTATACGAGGCTTTCACTGACGTCACATCTGCGGTCATTGTTGTGGCCTTGCTTATTGAGTGTGCACGTCGTGGAGCATACATTTCATACCATCAAATTTGTTGTTCTTAAAAAGAAAAAGTAAGGAATATTACCAGCATTACAAGATGACGTCACGGGCAAGCCCCGTGTTGCTCCGCTGTTATATCTTGTTTTCTGTTCCAAGTGTATTCTGGTTTGATTTATTTCATTTTTGCGTTGCATTTATGCAGCCTAGAGTAAATGAGGAAAAACACACAAGAGCATGTTCGAGGCCTCACACATTCTTGATTATCTTTTTTTTTTTTTCAATATTTAATCGGATTCCACTATTATTAGGCTCGTTTCATAGGTCACCGCATTGTAGCTGCTTCTTTTTGTATACTTAGTTCTCGGAGTGATTCAGCCAGAGATTCTCCGGGATATTTATTGAAGGCTCGGTAAGGACTAATGGACTTGTAGATGGTCATTGTAGAAACTGTTCCCAGTAGTGGCAGTTTCCGGAGAACACGTTGTGCTGCATCGAGTAATTCCCTGGTTGAAGCCACAAGGACACGGGGTTCCAGGGGGTGTAAGGCACCCAGTTGACTCCGTCGAGCTCCGGTTTCCTGTGAGAAAGTAAGGCACGAAGGTTCTTTTTTTTGTTACACCGAATGTGTCTAGGCCGACTCACTGTTTCAAGGGGTCGCGTAACAATGTTTGAACTTCGGTCAAATAACTGTGGTAGTTGTTGCCTGCCACGTCTGGAATAAAGAACTGAAAACAAATTGGCCTGCGTGCGTTAGTATATTTTTTTTTTAATTATTAAGAATTGACATTTCGGACGTTTCCAAACCACTCAACTCTTACACCGTCCTCCGAGTCACGTGCGCACGGACGTGTAGCTGGGTGCACTGGGGACAGGGAGGATCCGTTTGGGTTCTTTTTCAGAGCCTCCAGCGCGCCCGGCCTCTGCTTGCGATTCCCATGGAGACCTTGAAGGTTAGTCGGAACTATGTGAAGCGAGGGAAAAAAGGGGGGGGGGGGCGGGGGGGGGGGGGCGAGACGCTTGCCTTGCCGTAAAGAAGTTGAACTGACGTAGTAGCAACGGGGTGAGGCTCGATGTGAGGCAGAATTTATTATTCAAGTTATATATCCACGCCAAGGAAGGCATAGTTTTTTATCCTCGGGAGATGGCGCCACTAAAACTGAATGTAGTACAACTTTGTCCATGATATGAGGTTCTTGAAGTATTTACTCGTGTCGAAACGACAATATTTATAAAATTTAGCATTAGATTGAGCACATAACGTCACATCTTGCCAACTTATGACAGTGTACCCAAGTGTGCGTTACGCCCTAGTTCCCATAGCCGCCGCCTCGCGGCTGCAAAGCGCGAAGTACTTCAAATTCTTTGCTTCGCTATTACGCAACGGAAATCGCGATATTTGAAAACAGTCAGGCAGTTTCTCCATTTTCTTTCAATGTAAACATGAAGAACTGTAAATTCATTCTAATCTAAAATCATTGCGTCGCCCCTTTAAAACAAAAAGGCTTTTTTTTAGCACATACCTTATTCCATTGCGGAGTTCGAGTTCGTCTGCTTCTTTTGCATGGGTTGCGGTTACGTCAGAAAGACGCCGGGCTCTGATTGGCTCTGATTGAAGGACAGTGGGCAGACCTGAAGACAGCATGCTTTGAGGTCTACCCACTATCCTTCCAATCGGAGCCGATCAGAACACGGTGCCGTTCTGACGTCACCAGAACCCCTGCAAAAGAAGCAGACGAACTTGCGCTCCGCATAGGTTCAAACGTCTACGCATACGCCGTGTCGACAGCAGTGCCACCGCAGCGGTGTGACGTCAGAGCCGCGTGTTGGTGTCAACGATAATAGAGAGGTGTAGGGAACCGCTTTTGCACATTCGGTACGGTAAGATAGGCCGTACGATACGGACTGCCCACGCGCTACCGTAGAAGACTCACACATGCGGTGTTCGTACCTTTCGGCCTATCTTACCGTATCGAATGTGCAAAAGCGGTTCCCTAAAACTCTATACGCCTCGCAAGTGGGCTCATTTTCGTCTTCTGCGCATGAGAAAGGAAGTAGCGGTGACGTCAGAACGCCGAGCCCTGATTGGCTGATCACGACCCCCTATCTGAGCGTCGTCTGCTCCTTTTGCAACGTCGTCTGCTCGCAACATCGTCTGCGTCTGTCTTACCTTTCCTGCGACTTTCGGAAGTGCAGGTCTTTACGAGCGAGCTCGACTTCGCCTTTCAGAGAGGGCAGACGAAATAACTCGAGCAGTACGCTGTTTTTGTCTAACAACTAGCAGACGCGCATCAAGAAGGGAAGTCAAAGGACTCACTGGCGAGGTGTCCCGAGGCGCCGAGGTTTGTTTGCTAAGAACCGAGAGTGAGGGTGTTAGTGTCCGTAAGTTCCCTCCCAAATACTTTTTCCCTCCTTTCGTGTGCGGCGAGGCCCCTAATTCTTTCACGGCATCGGCGGGTTGGCGCAGTTAACGTCGTCTGCTTTACGTCTGCTAGTCAAAGCGATGGCTGCTTTACCTTTCCTGCGTCTGTCGAAGATTCACCGCTTTTTCACCGGCGAGAGTCACCGTTGCCTCGGGAAACAAGGAGATGACAAGAGGAAGAAATTGACCTCTTAATCTAAAACTGAGGTCAGCGATCAAAGTATAATACGAGAAGGGTTCACGAGCGTCGCGCGGGCATATTCCATTCAGCACACCAGCCGGTCGTGGGCAGACGGTCGCCGAGTCGCGGAGTGCCTGCTAGGCCTAACTGCCGTGCTCGCTTGGTCGCGTTCGCTTGGTCGCGTTCGGTGGAATCGTGGCCGTTGGAGCTTTTCCCGCGTGTTTGTGGATCCAGCGTTCTTGTTCGTCGTGGTTCGTTTCAAGTACAGTGGTAATCACACTTGTCCATAACGCGCGAGCGTGCGGCTTTCTCCGGGGAGCGCTAGACTGGTGTAATTCCCGGAAACTAGGCTAGTCACGTGGCGCAACATGGAACGGCCCGCTCGAGGGGTGTCCTGCCCACTCTATCAGCTTGATAAGCGATAAAAGTACAGTGCTTTATGATACATTTTTGTTTTTTTGTTGACGACATCGTTGATACGCCTTCATGCTTTAGTCTGTTTATTGTTCGAGCAATGATGTTTGTAAAAAGCGTGCGAACACTCTTCCGCGTCAGCCGCCAGCTGATAGAGTGGGCAGGACACCCCTCGAGCGGGCCGTTCTATGTTGCGCCACGTGACTAGCCTAGTTTCTGCGAATGCCACCAGTCTAGCGCTCCCCAGAGAAAGCCGCACGCTCGCGCGTTATAGATAAGTGTGATTACCACTGTACTTTTTTCTTGCTGCTTGAAGTCGGGACGCGTGAGAAGTGCACGTAGAAAAATAAACGTCCGTGGGTCGTCGCGACCGCGACGCTGTCGGCCATGCTGATTTGATCGTAAGAAGTGCGTAAGACAGCTTCGGAGCTGTCGTAGGATTTCGTCGTAACCTGCGCAAAACTCACGAAAATTTCGTTTCGTGAATACGAATTTGTTCTTAAAGGGATACTACAACAAAATTTCGGCGCTCATTTTTTGGTCTATATGTGTTCAAAAAAGCAGCATCACATGGAACATACCAATATCTTGTTAAAAAAGTTACGAAAAGTAATTTTAAAACGAATTAAACGATTAGCAAAGAGCACCTTTTGGATGTCGCTAACGCCTCGCTTGTAATGCCCGTCTAGGAACCTTGACAGCTAGTGACGGAGGTTGTCTCGTCTCCGGCCACGACGAGAAAAGAGGGGCAGGAGGAACTCCTCTCTTCCCGAGAATGCCTTTTGTGTGTCGCAGAAGTCACTATTGTCCCCCTACAAGATTACAGAAGATTAACCCGTCACTCAAAATCCGTACAAAAGCAGCCGCTTCGGTGGCTGGAACGACTAGGCCATCCTCTCGATGTCAGCTTCGCCGTAGCTTTGCTCGTCTTGAGACGACCTACGTCACGACTTTGCAGGATGTGAAGTGCTCTCCGCTGACTATTCTCCGAGCGCTTTCCAGAGTGGGCCGTTTATAACGAAAAATACAGCCACCAGGCTCAAAATACAAACGTGCGATTGTGATTTACGGATATTGTCGATCATATTCAACCTATGTTTGAACACGACGGGAATATTTCAAATTTCGTTGAAGTATCCCTTTAAGTTTTGTTTTACGCACATTTTTGGCGTAAGATCGTTTCGTGAATCTGGCCTCTGCACTTCCGAAAGTCGCAGGAAAGGTAAGACAGACGCAGACGACGTTGCGAGCAGACGACGTTGCAAAGGAGCAGACGACGCTCAGATAGGGGGTCGCGATCAGCCAATCAGGGCTGGGCGTTCTGACGTCACCGCTACTCCCCGCCAACGTTATTCGATTAGCTCAGTTATGGAACTGCTCCTAGACGCTGCATGCACGAACAGTACCCCCCTCACTCACCACGACTCGCCAAGCGTCGCTCGACGCGCCGCCGGACAGCTGCTTTGGTAACTGCAGCGTATTTTATGGGAATCGGGCACGGTGAAATCGGGTCGGGATCGCTGGGATCGCTACGTACGTTTCGAAGCACGGCGTCTAGATGGCGCTTCATCTCTGCTCTTTGGAACGCATAGTTATGAAACGAAAATCTAGATGGCGCTTCGAACGACGGCTGACGGATGGAAGTGAGTGAGGGGGGTACCCCCTTCCGCTTGAGTTCCACAACTGAGGTAATCTAGTAACGTTGCCCCCCGCCCAAGAAGCAGACGAACTTGCCCTCCGCATTAGTTCAACTCAGTTACGGAACTGGACGAAGCTTGCGCGAGTAGTACCGCCACTCTCCTGGCACGGTAAGCCGCCCGTCGTTCGGCACGCCACCACTTCGCGAACAGCTGCTATGGTAACTGAAGCGTGTTCCATGGAATGTGTATGTTTTGAAGAACTTCGCCTAGATGGCGCCTCACCGTACTCTATGAAGTACGCAGTTTTGAAACAAGTTTCTAGATGGTGCATTGAACGACCGGAGATGGGAGGGAGGGGGGGGGGGGGGGGGGTTACAGCACTCTGTTGGAGTTCCGAATGTTAACTAATCGCGCCTGAAGTCACTTCAGTCGCAGCGTATTCGACAACTACGAAAACGAACGTTAACAAACCGTCTGCGGGCATGCCGGTGATAATAATAACTGTGCCGCATGTATGTTTTATACAGCCTAAAGTTAGTCAGCCTGAATAGTGTGAGGCTTTGCAAGTTCAAGCGAGGGGTCAGAATAATAATGAAATACGCTTTCCTGTCGGCGCTGCACCAAAAAAGAGGAACGTCAAGGAGCGCGTGTGCCGACGGGAAGCCTTTTCCGCGGAACAGGCGAGAACATCTCAGGCGCTCGGGAAGACGGAAGAAGACTGCTGCGAGACGTGCGAGACCGGCAGCGGAATCGCGGAGATGGCTTGTGCTAACGGGTCGTCTTCTCTGGGTGTACGCGCTACCGGTGATGGCAGGGCTCGAAGAAAGTAACCCCGAGCAGACTCTCACAACGAACGTTTGGTGTCTCAGTTGTATAGAGGAAAAATGTACCCCGTACAACACAACTGCTAGCCCGGGGCATTCAACGTGCACCACGCCGCAGTGAGACACGACCGCACTCTGGTAAGCTGCTCGCCGAAATCGAAATGGGCAGGAGAGGGGTTGAGCCCAGGGCCTCTGGGTTCTGCAGCGCGAGCTTTCGATACACGTGCTCCGAGTTAAGGGGCACTAACACACTCGGCCACCGATCCCCAATGCTGGGGACACTTGTTTACTCTTTAGCCCATTCGCTTCCACTCAAAGGCCGACGTACACTTGGCGTTTTTCCCTTCTGCTCCCTGCTTCTTTTTCCTATCTGCTCCACCTTTCAACTTGCGCCAACACACAACACCTCACCGTTCAGGAGAGGAGGGCGGTAAAGGAATTCTCTTCCCGTAGAAAACCGAGGATGTACGTCGGTCTTGAAGTGATTTCTGATTAGCGTCGTCTTTGCTGATAAAACACAAACGCAAGCAGGAGGCTCCGTCGACGACGGAACCAAAAAAAGTATAAGGTGGCGTCCATCCCGAGGCTCTCTTTGAAACCGGGCGGACATATCGTCGCCGCGCGTTGCCAAGGCCCATAGACACATTGGCGTTTGAGAGCGTTGCGTTCAGTTGCCGCAGGCAGACGTAGAGCGTTGCGAAGAGCATGCCAATCGTGCAGACACACTTGCATTTACATACAGAGTCAACCGCACCCAAGAGCCATTTTGAACGCACTACGGACGCTTGCGGTTCGCCAATAGTGAGCCATATTCAGGGAAACATGTAGCGCGTCGCGAAGTTGCCGATATTAGGGAGTTTTCGTAGATCGTTTTCGCCGTCCCGCAAGGCCCTCCGCAATCCGCTACGATAGCGGGAACTCCACAGTCAAGGCTATCGGCGCGCAGGCGCAGTAGCAACTTCTTCGTTGCGGAAGGCTTAGCGGAGGGGGTAGCGCGGTCTACGAAAACTCCCTATTAGGACGATCCCGCTGGCTTCCGCAATTTATGTGAGCTTGAACCATCGCAGCCTTGGAAAAACTTGCTTCCGTAGTCTCCACCACTCACGAAAAACCAAAAGAAAAAAACACGGTCCTATTTCCGTGTAGTTGTTGCTATCTTGAATCGGGGAACGTCGGAGGAAACATTATTGTTTTGCCTTCCTGTTTTGCGTCTTGCATATTTTTGTATTTGTTCAGTGTTCTTATGGCTCGGTTTTTCTCCACCCCCGTACCGGATGTGTGAACTATGTGACTAAGGAAGTGGGTTAACGTGTTTACTTTGAAGAGAGGTTGCGCTTCAGTTTTTGCTTCCTCCTATTCCGTTCGCTTCAATTCATCATTGCTACAGCATGACAGGTTATTGCAACTTTAGGTACTATTGTGTCCTTCTCCACAGCACAGGCCTTTGTGGAGGCCTGTCAACCCTACTTCAGTGGCTCGGTACCTCGGAAAGAGAAGGTCGGCAATGGCGGCTCAATCTGGCGCCGGTTTAAAGAGTCCATATCTTGGTAAGCTGTATAAGTGGAACACTTTGCTAGCCTTGGATGGGTCCTGAATGAATCCCTGGAGCAGGGGGGGAGGGTGGTCTAGCGCACACCAGCTCGGAGCACATGGAGCGAAAGCTCGCGCTGCCGAACCCAGGGATCCTGGGTTCAATTCCCACCCCTGCCCGTATCGATCTGGATGAGCATCGTATCGGCGTGCGGTCGTGTATCACTACTGCGTGGTGCACGTTAAAGACCCCAGGCTAGCGGTTGTACTGCACTGGCTAAATTTCTCATCTACAGCGAGTGACTCGTGGCAACTTTAAAATGGCTGACCAACTTCACGCTGTATAAATATCCACACAACCCCCAATTATTATTACTTTTTCCTGGAGCAGGCAATTTCTTCCGCGGCCACTAGTAACCTAGATTGCGCGAGCTGGGGCGCTAAACTCGTCAAGCACGAAGTTGAAGCCGAATTTCACGGAGCGCACCGATTGGACAATCTCGTCGATGACTTGGCTCTCTTGTCGCCGGCATCGAACCGACGCGCTCCGCGAACTTTCAACTCCAATTTTGTGTTTGACGAGTTTCTCTATTTCTCCATCTCTCTGTGCTCTATTTTAGGTGGAAGACAATTTATTCTTGCAGCCAAAATAGATATATTCTAAGCTGACGCTGTAGACTTGCTTAGCCCGGGCTCGAACTACAGAACGCTTAAAGATTTGCTCGTTGCGTGACAAGGAAACGGCCATGCTTAGATACGGTTTAACAGACACTACAGCTACTCTATGCAGAACCCGTACCTTCGCGATGACAAGGTGATGTTGACTAAGCGACGCACAGTCTTCACCAATATAAAGATGCAAATGTCTCCGACACACAATTTAAAAATCTAACATAATTTTGGCGATTTGAAAGGTAACTTTAAAACCATGCGCAATACACGGTGCATAGTCCGTATTCTTTTAATTTCAACGAGAGTATCTGGTGGTCAACCTTATCGAAGGTCTTGGTCATGTCAAAGTAGACTGTGTCCACCTGACCACGGTTGCATGCTGCAGGACCACTATGACCGAGGAAAGTAGCTAAGTTCGTCTCCACTGATCTGCCCCTGAGGAATCCGTGTTGCAAAGGTGACATTTTTTGTTTAAAATATGAGTACGAGCGCTCATACACCACCATCTCAAAAACCTTTGAGAAGCCACAAAGAAAAGACACAGGGCAGAAATTATTGACATTACAGGGATTTCATGACTTGAAGACTGGTATTACGACTGAAACATTTCACCGAGAAAGATAAACCCCATACTGTAAGGACAGATTAAATATATGTGTCAGGATAGGTATAAATAATTCAGCACATCCTTTGATAATAAAAGTAGGAATGTCATCACAGCCAGTTGAAAGTTTTGGTTTGAGCTTCCGTATCGAGCACATCACCTCATCCCCGGTTACACTGTGGTATGCTAAGGAGTCAGCAAAACCCTCAAATTCAAAATCATTAGGCATACTGTCACGTTCCGAAAAGCAAGAGCTAAAGTGATTAGCAAATGCTTGGCTCACTTCTTGTGGCTTGCATAACATCTTATCGTTATTTTTAAAACTGAAGTGCTGACACTATCCTTACTTTGGGCCCGAGCATAATTCCAAAAACAACTTGGTTATTTTTTTAATTGTTTTCCAAACAGTTGTGATAACGAGCTTCATCTCGAGAGTAAAGCTTCTTAACTATTGCTCTGCAGACTGAAAACCTCTGATACCAATATTCACAATTTGACTTTTTATGGAGTTTGTGGTAATGCTGCTTTTTACACATAATATTTCAGGACAGATGAAAACCACTTAGGAAATGTTGATTTTCTTGGATACTGTTTAGGTATGAATTCTTCTATAGCGCGCTGGACAGTTGATGTTACCGATTCGACACAAGAATTAACGTCCGTAAGGTGAAAGAGGCAAGACCAATCATAGCCACGAAGACGATTGTATAGGCCGAGATAATCGCCACGCGTATAGATAAACTTGGGTAGTGACTGCTCACGTAGTATTTGAAATGATAAAAAGAAACATAGTGTAAACGGAGGGTGAAAATAATCGACTGGGACAAGCGTCTCGCGTGTCTCTTTCACGTCGAAGACGGGTACATTCGATATGATCAAATCTAAAACATTTCCAGCACAGTTTCTTGGGGGCCAGCGGGGCTCGTGGACAGCAGGGCTCGTGCACAAGGCGTCCCAGCCACGTAGGGGAGTGCCACCTCTAAAAGCACCTGCCCCCCCCCCCCTCCCCGCGGGGTTTACTGATTGGTTGTGATTTCAGGGAGTGAAAGGGGGGGGGGGGGGGGGGGGCTACGAAAGGCATAAGGTCTCCGGGGGCCGGATGGCTTAGCTACGCCACTGTCTATTGGGGTTCTAGAATCGAAGCGAGGACGAAATTATTCAGTTACCTGCAACGCTCGATGCCCTTAGTTTCTCGTTCCCATCTGCTTGGTCACTTGACCTCAAAAATCATCATGCGGGTGAGTTAACCATCAGAAGAGATACATTCATTGATCGGCAAACCGGTCTAAAAGACAAAATAAAATAAGAATAGAAGCATATGACGTCGCCATCAACTATGGTACGTCAGTTTTCCAACTTACCTCCTTCGATTTTCGGCCACAAAAGTTTTCAAATGTGCGCTACTCGACCCTACGCTTCAAAACATACACATATACTGAACCAAGCGGCCGTCGTTTTGGAGCACCCAAAAGTTCGGCCAAAAGTTCGGACGTTTTTAAAAGAACGGACTTATTGGAGGGTCAATTGTTTTGCTTTGTGAATAAAGAGAGGCACCCATGCTTGTTCCGCTAGAGAACAACACATACGCAGACATCAAACTGCAATTTTACCTTTCGCAAAGGACTGGTTCCTGAAATCGTGCAGCTTTGAGACGTAGTATCGATACCACGTAGGAGATAAGGCCTGCGCATGACGTCATTATGAGTAAATCCCTGACCCGTCCCAAGCGGCAAACATGCGTCAGCTCGACCAAAGTCGCCACCAAGCGGCAGATGCGTCCGTCTTGGCGTTGACACGTTCTAGCATCAGCTTGGTTCCGAGACGCCGCAAGACCCACTGACGGCGACGTTGACTCAAGCCAGACGGCGCTGCCCAGATGCACTGTTGATGACGTTTAGGATCAAAGGTTCGGGCCTTTGCTTTCTACGTGGTATTGGTAGCATCCCTAGGCGTGCGCTTGTTTGTAATGAAACCGTTGGCCTGTGAAGCGGAACTCCGTTAATCGTTTTCATACCATACGTTTTGTAGGTTCTACGATTATAAAAATAACCACGCGAGTATAGAAATATCAAATTAATGTAGGGTTGACTTACCCGTATTTTGAAAAAGTCACAAATGCGTTCATTACTTCTTGACTGAACCTCCGGTCTTCGTCACTGTAGTTGCCGTGATCCATGAAAGGCACGCCGAAATAGTACGGAAGGTCAAGCACGTGCGGGACACCCATCCATTTCGGGAGCCTCGACTTGGCGGAGCTGTGACCAAACAGGAAGGAGTACACAGAGTTTCCCCTTGCAGAGTGACCTTCGGCAAAGTATTTCGAGGGGCACACGAAGTAGAAGTCCCCCACAAAGTCTGTGTGCTTCTCCCTCAATGCCCGCTTGTCGTGCTGTCCCGCCTGTGCCGCGTAATACTCGAGCAAGTCTTCGTACTCCTCCTTCATCCACAGGGCTACCATTTTCCGAAGAGCCGGCTTCAGGTCCTCGACGCGAACGTCCTTCAGATCTTCGTCCCAGAAACGTTTGTCGGTCTGCGGTAACAAAATTACGTTGCCTTCCGAACGCGTGATGCTGACCATGACGTCCACGTCTGCGAACTGACCTTGCCTCAGTGCCAAGCTAGGTCGGATTGGAAAGAACTCGTTCGGATAGGATGGCAAGAACGAAACCATTTTACGGCCGCTTACATTCTTCACGGCTTCGAATATCGCTTTGGTGGACTTCGTGCGTAGACATTCGAGGACTGTGTCCGGATGACTGGTCAGGTCCCGAAGCGCTCCCGTGCACTTCAGCCTCGCGGCTACCTTACTCCCTCGGACTGAACTCTCGAACACGGTGTCCAGGAGACCAAAGGAATGGTATGTGCCACTCATGAGAAACGCTCTCTGGAAGAGACCCCTGCTTAGTGGAGAGATAATGTGGGCGTGCACACTGTAAGAACCCGCGCTCTCTCCAAAGATGGTCACCCTGGACGGATTCCCGCCAAACGCCCGGATGTTTTCGCGCACCCACTTTAGTGCCAAGTTCTGGTCCAGGAGTCCCATGTTGCCAGGAGCCTCTGGAACACCGGCGTTCAGGAAGCCGAAGATGCCGATGCGATAGTTGATGGTCACGACTACGACATCGTGCATCGTTGCAAGCAGAGAGCCGTTGTACCAGCTCTGGTACGAGCTGCCGAAGGAGAAGCCTCCGCCGTGAATCCACACTATGACCGATTTTGTCGGTTTCGTTGTGCTGGTTGTCCAGACGTTCAGGTAGAGGCAGTCTTCGGATAGATCCGTTTCAATATGGAATACCTCTGGGTAGAACTGCTGGAGGCAAGAGTGTTTCTTCCGTGTGGCGTCCAAAGTGCCATTCCATGGCTTGGCAGGCACAGGTTTCCTAAAGCGCAGTTGATGCACAGGGGGCTCCGCGTATGGAATTCCGTAATAAACTTGAACCGGTTTGCCATGAACGCTTGTGAGAAGCCCTTTAAGTTTTCCCTGGTTGGTTTCTACGATCGGTTCTTTCACGTCATTCGGCCATACGTTCCAGTGGTGGTGGTCTACGGAAAGATTTGCTTCAATATCGAGCAGCGTTGGGCAGGTTTGTTGGTGCCAGGAGCCCTTTTCGGTGCTGTCGCCGCCACATGAATTTCCCGATGATGGTCTGCGAAAATGAATGTAATGCACTCTCGATTGCACCTCCAAGCATGCCAGAGAAACGCCAAAGTTGCGTCCAGTGTCGCAATTCTAGGGGCCTAACTTGGACCTAATACGGTCTTGCACCAAGGCGAGTTAATGCCAACGAGCTCCTAGTTTGAATTTTTCAGCTTTTCGCTGATTTGCTACATCTTCTTGTTGATACGCTAAAAAAATATGCCAAGAAAGGCCACGTATAAGCCAAACAACCTGCAGTGACGCCTAACTACGCTAGTTGTTTGATATTTAGGTCCAAAGCTACCATCCGAAAACGGAACGAGAATTAACCCTATTCGGATATTTCTTCGGAAACTGAGGTCTTGAGACAGCATCTGACAGCCGAGAACCCAGAGGGTGAAAACAAACTCCGGCCTTTATGAGGCAATTGAGAGCAAAAAAAATTCAAACATCGCAAAAAAAAAAAAAACACAATGTTTGGTTATATATTGCGGCTTTAGGATTCAGGCATTTCGGTGAACGAGGTTTGAGTGTAGGATGTTTTGGGTGGTTTGGTTTCGGTGCTGTGACGCTTGGGTGCAGGGAAGTTTCGATGTACGGACGTTTAAGTGCACGGAGGTTTCGGTGCACGGACATTTCGGTGTAAATGCGATATTTGTGAGGGAATTAATATAACTTCCAGCAGACATTGCAGACCTTTATCAAATTCATTATTCCAATGAATAAAACGTACGATATGTATTGATAGGAGATTATAGATTTGTCCTAATTTAGATGTCTGCTTTCGTCTAATATAAAAAAATATAAACAGACTAATTTCGACAAATCAAAATAATTGTGTCCCTGATTGAACACTAGTATGATGAAATCATTATGATGCGCGAAAAATGCTTGAATTTCGCTGGGAAGGCAGTCATTATGAGGAGCAGCAGCGGCAGTACACTGTACTGAGACTAAACGCCTCATCTCGACATTTCATTTACGGAGCTCACTTCTGCCGGACTTCATCGCTCTGAAACACCGTCATCGTGGCCTGGATCATCCACTCGTGCCTGTGACCGGGAGCTTCGTCGGCGATGAGCGAACGAAATCAGCGCCATCTGCTCGTGGCTGTGCTTGGGAGCACCGTACCGGCGTCACCGCGGCCACGTCATCACCCTTTGTGCTATAAAGGAGGCACTCTCGGCTTGCGGACGCACAGCAGCAGTGGCAGTACACTGCACTGAGACTAAACGCCTCATCTCGCTATTTCAGGTTAATCTTTCTTTACGTTGTATAAATCTTTTATTTATTTTTTACTTTCCGTGATCTACTGCTGCTTCTGCTGCTGCTGTTTTTTCGTGTTTTTGTTTTTCGTGTTTTGCGTGATTCTATGTTTTACAAACAAAATGGCCCATGATACTGAAGATATCTGTCTGGTATGTGCTGAAGAACTAGCAGACAGTGAATTGCAGATTGAATGCACTGAGTGTGAATACTGTTATCACTTAGGCAATTGTGCAAAAATTTCAAAGGCGACACTTAAAAAGAATGCTAATATCCGAAAAGCATGGCGGTGCCAGACTTGCAGAGCTGCTAAGTCTCGGGTCAGTCAAAGCAGTAGGCAACCTAAAAAACAAGGTGCCACTTCTGGTACCCAGAGCGACGTGCAAAACAGTGATCTCAATGTAGCTCTTCTCCTAGCTGGCATGAATGCTAAACTTGACTCAGTAGATGGAATGGAAAAGTCACTCCAGCATATGTCAGACAACTATGACGTCACGCTCAAGCGCGTTGGTGAACAGGACGAAGAAATAAAAAGTTTAAAGAAAAGAGTTACAAGCTTGGAAAAGACGAATGCAGACGTGGAAATCGAACACTTAAAGCAAAATGTGCACAATCTTGAATGGAGGAATCGCAGGCAAAACCTTGAATGCATGGGATTCCTGCAAGCGAAAACGAAGAACTTTTGTCTAAAATAAATGAAGTGGCAAAGAACCTGGATGTGCCTGATCTGACATCGGATCAAATTATCGCAGCAGACAGACTTCCCTCACGTGCAGACAGGGTCCCGGGAGTCATTGTTCGCTTTGTCAGCCAGGTGACACGGGATATGTGTCTAGACAGGCGGTCACGACCAAGGAGTGCTCGGGATAAGACTCATATCTTGGAAAACCTAACGCAGCAAGATAAGGCACTACTGTGGGAGGCGAAAGAATGAGCACAAACAAACAGGTTCCAGTACGCTCGGTATAAAAACGGCAAGATTCTTGACATGAAGAAGGACGGAACTCAAGCACATCTAATAAGGACTAAGGATGACTTGCAAAAAATAGAGTAGTTTTGATTTGCGCATTGCAGTTTTTTTTAACTTCACTCGCAATGACGGACATATCTTACTTATTGCCAAATTAGGTTGTTAAACTTTTTACAGACCAACCAAATGCGCCTTTTTCGTTATTTCATTTAAACGTTCAATCAGTGCGAAATAAGTTTGATGAACTTGGCATCTCTCTGGACAGTTTTACATTTTCTTTTGATATGCTAACTGAAACATGTATAATCAAATCAAATTAAGGGGTTTTACGTGACAAACCAACGACGGGCATCTGGCACGCCACGGCGGAGGACTGAGGATTAATTTCGACCACCTGGAGATCTTTTGACGTGCAACCGAAAGCTCGGTAACACGGCGCCTTCTCCGCAATAAAAACATGTATAATCAGAGTGATGAAGTGGATCAACTAGAGAAGTATGCAGTATTCAATCTAAGTCGTAGCAACAAAGTAGGAGGAGGAGTATGTGTGTGCGTTAAAAAATGCCCTGGATATACTATCCTTAGTGATTTCACAGTGACGACAAATGACTATGAGATTTTAACTTTACAACATGCTAAATTTGTATTCTCTGTTGTCCATCGACCGCCAAGTGGGAATGTTGCGACCTTCCTTGAATTCCCTGAAAATTTTTTAAAGTTTGTTGGTGAAAATAAATTGTGTCTTTACCTTGGTGGTGATTTTAATATAGACATGCTTACCTCCTCTAAACACCAGCTTGATTTACTGTCATTGTATAAGTCATATGGATTGTCTAATGTTATTTCACTGCCTACTCGTATAGCGCCTCTGCATGGCACGTTGCTTGATTTATTTTTAACGAATGTTCCCACCACAGAGATACTTGCTGGCGAGATTGGGGTAACGATTAGTAAACACCTCCCAATCTTTATGTTTAGCGATGAAATTTCAACAGCAAAAAAACTAGTGCTGCTCAATTTCTTTTTAAAAACATCAGCACATAAAACTTGCAACATTTTGAACAACAGATATTTTCTCCGAACTGGAGTCTGGTGTTGTCTAGCGTATCAGCTGACAAAGCATTTGATTACTTTCTTGATAAGTTCATTATGATATACGACCGTTACTTGCCCTACCAACAGCGAAATATTTCCCGCAAATCACGTAAACCATGGGTTACGTCAGAAATAAGAAAAATGATAAATAAGAAAAATACTCTTTACCATCAATTCGTACGTAGCAGAGTCGTTAACTTATTGGCTAAATTTAAGGGACATAGAAATCAGTGTACTAGGGCAAAACGTTCTTAATTTAACAATTTATTTCAAGGTGTAAAAAGACCCGATGTTATATGGAAAAAATTCAACGGTATGCTTAAGAATGGGCCGCACAAGGAGATAATCACGAAAATCAAAATTGAAGGCACCGATATGGATGGGGAAGCTTTAGCTGAGAAATTTAATGAACCTTTTGTTAAGCCCGTTCAAAGTGTGTGCTCTACGAATGCCTTCAGATACATGGTTAGTGTTTCTGATAGCTTATTTCTTATCCCAACCGACGAAGAGGAAGTATTCTCAGCGTTTGAAAACTTAAAAAAATAGTAAAAGCTTCGCTATATACGACCTTCAAATAAGACCAATTAAATATGTATTGCGGGCGATTTTACCATATTTAACGCACATATTTAATTTAGCACTTAAGTATGAAACTTTAAAAAAAATGTAGATAGTAAAGGTATCGGTAATCTATAAAACCGGTGATAAGAATGACTTAGAAAATTATCTACCTATTTCGGTTTTACCCATATTTTCCAAGGGATTAGAGAAAATCATACATCAAAGGCTTAATAATTTTTGGGAGAAGTTTTCAATCATTACGCCCTGTCAACATAGACTTATGAAGGGTCGCTCGACTGAGCTTGCACTTTTAAAACAAAAAGAACTAATTTTAGGCAACATCGAAGCGAAGCTCGTAACACTCGGCATAGTCATTTATTTCACAAAAGCCTTCGACCGCATAAATCATGCAACGTTACTTCCGAAGCTGTACCTTTATGGTGTTCTTGGGGTTGCTTTACAGATGATAAGAAGTTATCTTCAAAACCGCCATCAGTGTGTTGAAATAAATAAAAAAACATCAAATTTCAGGCCACTAACCGCCGGTGTACCACATGGCAGTATTTTGGGGCTACTCCTCTTCAACTTGTACATTAATGATCTAGTAATTAATGACAATAATGTGAAGTGCATTATTTACGTGGACGATACGAGTATATTTTTTCCGGTGTTAATATAGATAAAATTATAAGTAATGCAAACCATTATCTTGATCAATCCAACGCTTGGGCATCATCAAATTCCCTGCAAATAAACGTAAGTAAAACAAAGGCCGTTGTATTTAGATCTCGAAAGACAAATCGTAGTTCTAGGTCTGTACTTTTGCTTGGTACAGGCAATATTGATATTGTTGAGAGCGTGAAAGTCCTGGGGCTAATCTTTAATCAGTACATGACTTGGAACGATATGGTGCGATACACATCTAAAAAGCTATCGAAGGCTGTGGGTAGAATATACTGGTATCGTCACATAATTCCTAGTTCGGCCATGATACTCGTTTACAACTCTATTTTTACGCTCATTATAACTATTGCTTTTTGGTATGGGGAAATACAATTTTAACTAATATCAATCAAATGCATATTCTGCAGAAGAGAGTGATTCGTACGATATGTCATACTAGCTGCGACAGCCATGCGAAACCATTGTTTCAAAAATTTAATATTGTGCAAATTACCAGTCGCTATAGTTACAAATTAGCCCTTGCATACAAAAAAATCGTTTTGTAACAACAGTTTACTTTTATCGATCTCAAATCTTCAGTTCAAGGAAATGGTCCACAACACTCGTTCTGAAGATCTGTGGGCAATACCTCACTCCAGGACCACCGGCAATCAAATGTTGAGATATACACTACCGCGCCTTTTACATTGTTGTAGTGAATTGAATAAAATTATTTTGAGTGGAACTCGGAAGGATGTTCGTTCTGTTTTTGTTAATGATTTTCTTAAATACGTTTCCGAATAGTTAAAGCATAAATCGATTGTAGGATTTAGCTCACTTATTTTCTTTTATATTGGTGTAGAGACTGAATTTGCATGTATGTGTGTAAGTGTTTTTTTTTTCTCTGCTGCTTTAAAAAAGGGGGGGGGAGAGAGCAGAGGCTCGTCAAACAACACTGTGTTGCTTTTTTCTCTGCCTCCCCTCTCCGAACGGAAAGAAATAAAGACTTTTGACTTTTACTTTGAATACATTTTACAAAAATGCTCCGTGTATTATTAGTAGAGGCCAGATTTTTAGGCACTAAAAAAGCGCGTTTTAGGCGCCAAAAATACGCGGCAAAAACAACGTTTTAGGCACTAAAAAGAATAAAATAGGCGCAATAAATTTTTAGATAAATGCTAATAATTTTAAGTGAAGACGTGAGCGAACTGTAAGCACGGCAGGAAATCTAAAAATGTCATTGCTATGAGGCCATAATGGCAGTAACAGTTCAATTCAATTCAATTCTTTATTTTTCTCTCATAACAAGTTCTACACATTGACATGAGACGTGGAATTGCCCCGTAATACCTCTGGGCTAATGGCGATTAATTGGCTTAATTTCACAAGCGCTATGCTTACATACATGCTCAGATGCGAAAGTCACTCAAGCGTCGCATATTGTGAAACAGGCAGGAGAAACCAGACTTGTACGTAATCCGTTACAAGTAACGGAATTACTTGTAATCCCTTACATTTATCAGTAATTTAGTAACGGAAAAATTACATATTTTGTAGGGTAATTTTAAAGTAATTCCCTTACATTTTTGACCTAACGGATTCCTTGGAATCCGTTACATATTTTTCCAGAACCAACCCCCCCTCCTCCCCCCTTTCTAAATAAAGTTTTTTTTTTTTTCATTTTGGTAAAGTTGAGCGCAGTGACACTGTCACGCGAATTGACCAGCGCAAAGGGAGGCTTGGCACTCTTCAGTTCCGCAAAGCCTTTTTTTTTTTTGCAACACCAAGCCCCTGATTTCTTTTTAGACCCTAACCACAATGTTAAAAAAAAAAAAAAAACATTTCTACAAAAAAAAAAGGGGGGGGGCAAGTTATATTCGCTTTTTTTAGTCCCTTTGTTTTTTTCTTTGCGATCGAAGACGGGCAGAGGTGGACACCAAGTGATTGTGCGCCTCTTCGAGAAGCTCGAGGCGGTAAGTGCACAGACAAGAATTAACCATGTCCTTCTCGGTTATAGTGACTAGGACCATTTTCATAATGTCACAACACCAAGACAACGTTCCGTCTACCCGAAAATTCACTAAAAGAGATGTGATAAGTTGTGATGGTGTTATTGCCACAAGCATCTTCGTTCGTTGCTGCACACTTATCTTCTCTTAGAAAACAGGATGATTTTTTCTGCATCTTTCATATTATGTGACCCTGTTTTAAAAGCTACTTATTTTTTTGTAGTCCAACTTCTATGGTTGAACCAATTTATTTGTGAATTCTAGCCAGGTTGTCTGCATCTCAGTGACCCTTTTTGTGAGTCAGCTTTTTGCCAACACTTAGAAAATGGTAATAGTCTTCCTTTCTTCTTCTTCCTGTTTTGCCCCAGCAGGACGCATCTTATCTCAAGCTGATATTTTTACAAATAAAACATAATGGTGGCTGACCTAGACTTGATATTCTGGGCTTGAGGAGAGATTGAAACTCGTGAGTGGGGCCATAGCATGGCTTACTTAGTACTCTGCCCTTCGGTGCCTGCGGCATCAGCGGACGTCTATCTGGAGAACACCGGAGTAAACTGAAGTCGGTTCGTGCGCCGTGCGTTTTTGAACGGCACCAAGAAAGGTACACACGGCAAACGGGCCTTGTTTTACCCGAAGTTCTAATTAATTGTTGTTAGGAGTGTCCTTATTTTTCTTTTATTACTTATATTTGTATAGTGGAAACCTTTTGTTTTATTCACCAACGTCTCAACCGAGGCTCGAACTGTTCAGACCCAAAGGAACAAGAATATCGAGCCAAACCTTATTTATTATGTAATTATCACCTTACTGTTACAACTATGTTTTGCTATGTCTGGCAATAAATGTCGGTATAGTAAGATGAACATAAATCAATTCTTATTCTACTCTTGGCTAGATGTATGATGACTTCCACAGCTTCGCGATTTAGACAATGAAGAATTTTGGTAGATCGGTGCGATGACTCCGATTACGATATCCGATACTTCGCCGCCGTCTTTGCGCATGCATCATATCGTTATCGGGTACCGATATCGCGGGTACCGGAGGTCGGAGGTATCGGAACGATCTGCCAAATCTCTCGAATAGCAGGCAACGGCTGCAACGACGAAGCTTTGCTCTACATTCGAGGTAAATAGTACTTCCATTGCTTCGCTGAAAAAGCTCAATGCAGAGCATGAAGCATTCGTGAGGAACAATATGGCACTCCCATCCAGCGCCTAAGTTCAAATGGTGTTCAGCGTAGCAGTCGACATATTGAGTAAGAAATAACGCAAAATGTCTGACGACACTTTCGAGAGCCAGTGTTGCTCAAAATACTCAAGGTCATTAAATGGAACAGGTTGCAACGCTAAGAACTCGAATGACCCTCTTCCCTTTATTTCCTATTTGAGGACAATAATGTTAAAAGTAACGCCACGAAAGTAACGAATTACTTTTTGGGGTAACGGTCAGTTACTTTCATGGTAGGGTAATT